TTTCTCTGAAAACCAATCTTATTGTCTCCATTGCAGTTGGAGGCTATGGACGTTATGCTTTTTTTATGAATTGCTGGTTATGACACAAATATAGGAGAATCTCTGTATTTAAAGTTTTTATTGGGGGTTCTTATTCTATTAAGAATGTCTCAAAAAGCATATGAGAGTCATACAAATATATAACATATGTACCATTAGGCATTCCAATCTCTCAGTTTGCTACAAGATTTCTGTATTTTTGTTTGGGATTTTGGAATAATGAAATCTCTCTTCCATCATCCTCTCTGTTATGAGATCTATTCCTTCTCCCCTTAAAAGGATGACTTCTGGTGTGTATATTTTAAATATAAAGTGGGAAGAAATGTAAGAGAGAAGAAAAACACAAAAGTCAACTATAGAAGAAAGGTTTGCGTATTTGTGAGCTCTTCTATGATTATCTTTACAAATGAAAAGATACATGTGTCAAACACTCAAATGAGACACAACCACCTAGTTTCCTCCTCAATAGACATGCCTTCCCGGCCCCCTTTGTCTGATTATTCTACTAAGCAAGCTCTTCTAAGATGGTGTGCGTGATATCTCTTCCCCCCACCCACGTGTGTATTTTTATTTTTAACCAAGTTTTCGATATTTCACCTGCTAAGATTTATCGGGATTTTTGTTAAGATTTCAGCAACTGGAACAATAGCATTTAGTATAAAACTGGCCTCATTTGTTAAGAGAGGAGAAATATGTTTCAGGAAACTGTTATTTGGAACCTTATTTTATCACTTGCACTGAAGAGTATATTTTGGTGTGAAGTTTTGGACTCCGCCGTCTGAGTGTTTAATTATTAAGAAATCCAAGAAGCTGTAAGGCTGCTTTACCTAGAGAGAGAATTGTCAGAGGCTTGCATGCATTCTGAAATTATAAAAACTTGTTTTGCAGCGTGTGGTTTGACTGTGAGTTTATTTTGTTTCTGGAATAATATAGATGCTGGGCTTAATATTTGGTCAGGTACCATTTTTTCAACTTCCGGGTATTTCATTGATTGAACCATTCGTTTTATTTTCTAACATAGGGAAGTTTTCTCATTTTTTTTTCCTGAGCACTGACGATTTCTGCGTTTTCAAGGTGTGCTTTCCTGATTTCAAACAATTGTAAAGTTTTTGTTTGAAAGTCATAAATCAAAATCAGAGAGAACTTGAAGGACTAAGTAAGATTCTCTCAGAATATGTGGCAATAACCCTAAAAGGAATGAAGAGTCTCTTCAAAAATAGCAAAGTTGTATTTTCTTAAGGCAGATTAAATTCTGTCAGGCTGTTGACAGACACTTGCTTTGTTTTGTTTTTTAAATAAATTGCACTGAATTCTTAAACTGAACATAAAGTCGCATTTCCAAGCACTAGCATGAGATTCTCAGCCTTGATCTCAACTATCCCAGGGTGTATTTGTGTACTGGAGTGTGCTCTCTTTAAAAAGGAATAAGAGCTTTTATAAAATGCGGTGCAAAATTTGTAGCTTTAAATACTCAATTATTTTATCTCAAAACGGCAGCATGTGAATGATTCTGATTTTTTTATACCGTTGCATAGGTATAGGGCTCTTGTGAGTTTTCTGCTTTGCTAGAGCTTATACTCCCTCTTCAGAGAAATTAAGGTAGTGCAGAGCAGTCCGCCTTTTTTATAGGATTTCAAGGTTGGAAAAATGATATAAGTTTCGGTGAGAAGCACAGATTTCCATTTTGAAAGAATGCGCAAAATCAAGCTTGAAAAGGACATTTTTAGAATTATATTCGAGTTGTGAGGCGACAGCCACTATCCTCTTCCTAGGCTAACTTTGACATCTGAGGAATTCATCAATCCCAAATACGCTACTAAGGTTGAAACTTGACATATAAGTATTTACTTCTAGAGTAATCAGAGGAGGACCTGTACGAGTCTTCAGTGTCACTAGGTTCAGTTTGAGTATTCAGTGGAACAGAAGAAAAGGGGCCATTTCTTAGTAAAACCCCCTTGGTAACGAAGTGTAAAAAAACGTTTTGGTGTGTTTGCGACGATGGTGATTAAGAGGCATTTCCTTTGTGAAACATGGACTCATATTAGAAGGACTTAGTGTTCTCAGAAAAATGACCCTTGTGGTATATTCCTCACACATACCCAGAAACTGTCACTTTACCACTTGCTGTTATCATCTAGGGATTTTTTTTCTTTAAAAAAAAATGCTTTTTTGGAGCAATTATTTTGATGCCATCCGAGAAAAGATTGTCTGGCTACAGCAGCCTCCTCATCCCCAGCCTATCTCATCCTAAATATGCCTCCTGGATTACACTTAGAGTAATATTGTAATGGCTTTCATTGAACCGATTGGCAAAGTATATCATTATATCATTAGCTGCCATGAGAAAGCAGTTTCAAGTAGGTGGCTGATTCTTCGTGTTCATGTTTTCAAGTAACCCTGTTTGGGGAATTCGGTTGTTTCACGGGTGCTCAGGTGTATTAACCTAGGGTACAATAATATTTTCTGGCTTATTATGAAACGAACAGGAAGTACAAAATAATTCAATAATAAGTGGGGTATAAAAACTCGAGCTTTACCGTAGGGGAGGTCTAATAACTTGAGAGGTTAGCAGATGAGATAAAAAATAAAATGTGTCTAAAGGGTACAGCAGTGGTCAACTCTTTTCTCATAACTACTGAAGCTGAGGTTTTATTTATTTATTTATTTATTAAGATTTTATTTATTTATTTGAGTGTTCGAGATTGAGAGAGAAAGAGAGAGAGAGTGGGCAGGGGAGGAGCAGAGGGAGAGGGACAAGCAGACTCTGTGCTGAACACAGAGCCTGATGCGGGGCTCAATCCCACGACCCTGAGATCATGACCTGAGCTGAAATCAAGAGTTGGGCACTTAACCAACTGAGCCACCCAGGCGCCCTGAAGCTGAGGTTTTAAAAGAATGCTCATGGCCTGGCAATTAAGACTTGTTGAATCAGTTTGAAATTTGTAAGCCATTAAGCTAAATAGATAATCAGTCTGTTTCTGTAACAATTGTACTGTTTGAAAGTATTGTTATGTCATAAAAAGGTACAAATTCTGCCATTTAATACTGAGGCATATGCTTCACGAGTGAGATTTTATTGCCAAAACCTGTGGGTTCCTCATAGAGTGCCTTGATACGAATTTTATTTTTAGATATGTATAACACATCGCTACATATCATCTGTAGCTTAATTGATAGGGTTGGGCAAAAGAAAATGGAATTCAGCATTTTTATTATGGGCCGATATAGTTGGAATTATGAAATTCAAATCCAAATAAGTAATTATTCTACAAACAATGCTGTTTTGTTTTCCCTTTAATAAATTACACCAACAACCTAGCTGTTAAGTGGAACCCTGTAATAACAAACTGGGACTATCCAGGTGGGAGGGAGAAGAAAGCATTTTCAGAAGTTTTCATTCATTCCCTCATTTCTTTCTTCATTTATACTTTTTCAAAGCATATTGTTCAACGAACCAAAAAACTAGACACACCAAGTAACACCGAACATTTCTTTCTCTTCAGTGTCCTCTTTATTTAAATCACGGCTTAAGGTCCTTCCTGCTTAAGGAAGTTCTCCGTATTCTGTCACTTACATCCCCAATTGGTGGGGATGACCTTAGCATTTTAAAGAGCATAAGGTCTGGCCTACTGAGAAGGTTTTGCATTCAAAAAATCAAATAACGCACACAGTGAAACACAGGGACTTACTCTCCTTTTGGAGATGCTGAGTCCCCTTACCCACTTGTCACCACCTTGAAATGGGTAAGGACTTTTTGGTCATGTAAAGGCTAAATTCACTGCCTTGCATATTTCTTTGAAAGATTTCCAATGAATGAATACAGTAATAAAAGTGGGGTAGTAGGATGGAAATAACACTGCATTAGAAATCAAGAGCTCTTCCTAATTAAATGTCTGGTATCCTCTGCTTACCTCATGGCCCTGGTTGGGTCACAACCCTATTTCATGGTGTACAAAATAGGTATAAATAGCACCTGCCTCAGGAGATGATGTGGATATACTCATGACAAACCCTTACCATAGTGCTTATTCGGTGCCAGAAACTGGGCACTTTGCATCTAATAAATCACTAACTCTGACACAATCCTATGAGATGGGATATCCTACTCTTCATTCATGGCTAAAGAAACTAGACACAGAGGGGTGAAGACAGATGCCTGAGGTCACACAGCTAGTAGATGGCAGAGCTGGGGATTGAGACCCGGGCAGTCTGTCTGCAAGGTTTATCTGTCTTTAATCATGATGCTATGCTGCCCGTGGCTGGCTATTCAGAGCACTTGGTAGAGCAAAAAGCTCTCCACAGCCTGATCGTTGTTCGCATCTCAAGTATTTGCCAATCTGGAAAAAATTAAATATTCAAAAGTTTCATCTCACTGTAGAATGCCCCTCGGTACCTCTAAGGTGTTCACTGGTTGTAGAGCACAGCTTCTGCGCAGGCAGGCCCCTTAGAGAGACTAGACCATTCCGTATAGCATTTCTGCAACAGAGAGAGTACGATCTAGTGCTAAAGAGCATGGAATCAACTGGGTTTTTAGTTGGCTGTGCCACTTACTAGTCACATGGCCTTGGGCACATGAGGTAATATCCTGGAATTCTTCCCTTAAAAATGGGGGAAATATACATACCCCCCCTAAGGATATTGGGAGAAATAAATAAATGACAAAATATATACAACATGCTCAGCATAGTCCTGGCACATTGTAAATATCTAAGAAATGATAACATCTCATGACAATAATAATAAGCCCCTGGCAATGTTAACATCAGCAACAAGGTAACTACCTGTCTTCTAGCACTTGGGAAAAATTTAACACACGGCTTACTGGGGTAGTTAGCTGCTGAGGAGAAACTCAGACCAGGCTCTCAATTGCATGTAGAAGAATTCTACCTAATGGAGGTCACTTGTTTTTTCTGAAACTACGAAATACTGCAAGCACTTTTTGTATGTCTTTGTCCTTGCAGGAGTGTCTCTATCAGGCCAAGACACCTAGTCAGCTGTTTCTATCATTAGACTTATCGCTCTACAAAGTTTGTGTTGGAAGTATGTACTCCATCTTTTTTCTTTTGAAATGGGACATCAGGCCAAGATGACAGAGCGCCTCATAATATGATTCCCCTCTGCCAGTAATTTGTTTATGCCTGAATCAGCCCTGCCTCTGAGCGATAAGGAGATACATGCTTCTTCTTTCATCTTCTATCAGTCTTACTCTGTAATTGGCCAGAAGCAGGTCCTCCCGAGTGGGGCACCACATTTGTGGGGCTGGCTCTGGTCCCCATGAAAAGAGGTTAGGCCTGGGGTTTTTACCTCATCTGGCAAGACGAAGATGTGTTGAGTAGGTGGGAGTGTATGGCACTTCATTTCGCTTCTAAAGTAAAACAGAGTTCGATTTGTTTAGGACTGTTTAGGTAAATTTCTAACATGAAACAGGACTATTCATACAGATGTTTTAAGGTAAAGTCAAAGAATTGCTGGATTCTGGCCTTTGCCACATTGTAATGTGGTGGTTTTTTTTTTCCCCCTCAGTGCCATTGCTGAATTCATAAAAGAAAACTTGTTTTTGCTTGTCAGCTAAGGGAAACTTAGAACAATTTTTTTTATAAGGGCTGATTAGTGAACTCTTGCATTGAAAGAAAAAAAAAAAAAACATCTGCCAAAGGGGGTGGGGGAAAGAGAGCATGGTGTCTTGCATTCCACAACGAATGACTTTTCCCAGCCAGTTTTCATTGACAGAAAAGCCAGGCAGCACATTCGGCTCTTCAGGAAAGGTCCTTCTGGCTGGACCCCTTCCTTGTGTCCCCGAATGAAACCGAGGCTTGGGTTCCCAGAGACAGACCCTTTCTCTGGGAAACCGGATAGATCCGATGGAGGTACCCCTCATTTGTAGTCATTGCCACCTTGTGGATTACAAAGGATATTGGTTTTCATCAAACTTCCATTGCAATTTGGCTTTTTATGGCAAGTACACGTTGGCAGTGGATTGCTGTGTTCTTCCCCAAAAGGATCCCCGTTTGTTCAGCAACACCTCTTCTCTGCTCACAGTTCATTTATGATTCTGATGAGAGTGTTTTTTCAGGAAACACACATTTCACTTTTTGACCTAGGAGCATCTGTTAGAATTTTTTTTTTTTAATACTACTTTGGCATTCCGAAAGTGTTAATGTCTTTCATATCTGTTTAATGCTATTTAGGGATATTTATGATCACCTCTTGGTTACTCAGGGTAAAGTGTGTCGCAATTTTTTTTAAACAGACAGGAAAGCACTCACATGAGGAAACAGATTGCTTTAAACATGTGCTTCCTGTGACAGTAAAAAGAACAAATTAGATTTAACACTGTGTAATGAATGCATAAATGTGTACATTTAAGCATTTAAAAGCTTTATGTTCAGTTCTGGTCACAACAAAAATTAAGTCACCTGTAAAAATTAAAGAGGCCTGGGTTACTCTCAGATTCCTGAAATGCCCAGAAATTGAGATCCTCACCTGATGATGTCTCGTTGGAATCATAAAAGGCATGCTATGTTAATGCTGGAGGGAATGAGAACATTACAGGGCACATCGAGAGGTTAAGCCAGGTTAGAGTCTGGTTCTATGCATCTAGCAAAGAAATCAGAACGTGTTAGGGGATGGGGAAGGGTGGCAGGGGAGAGGATTTTACTACCATCTTCCTCTTTCTCTGAGAATCAAGGAAAAAATTCCATTCTTCTGAACCCCAAATATTCCTCTTCCTTTCATGGGGAAAAAAAAAAAAAGAAAATCTGATGTTTACTTACTAGCGTCGCCTAAGATTTAATTACATAAGAAAAAGACTCCTTTTCTTATGTAATTCAGTTTGTGCTCATGTATGCTGGCTGGCAGGGAGTGAATAGAATATGAGTTAATATTTCCAGTTAGACGCGAGTGCTGAATTGGAGGGCATGATTCCTCTCCCCAGAAGAGTCTCTCCTCGCCATCTCTGTCTGAGCCCTGTGGATGGTGTTTCCTGCCCCTGTGCTCTCAGATGCTAAGGATTTGTGGCACAGTCCCCATCCCTCTGGCCAAGGAAGGCCAGGACGGAGTCCCTCAGGGGAGGGCACATAGTTTGGGGACATCTGACTCTCTTATATCACATACTGAGGTACTAATATCAAAACAGACTGCTTGTCGTTGCACGGTGGGGCAGGGCTTTTTTTGGCTGCCGTGGTCGAAATGAAATGGGCAAGCTGTAGTCCGCTTGGCATCAGAATGGGCTAAGGGAAGCTGGGAGATCAGAGTCAGACTGTGAATGCAAGTAACAGCCAATGGTTAACTTCCTTTTTGTGTGTCACTTGGCAGCAATGAGACTGATGGCGATTTTTTTTTTTTTTTTTTTTTTCCGTGGGTGAGAGTTCAGTGCCCTGGGAAGAGCCGTAGACGCTGTTATTGTGCTTCCTCATACAGTTGAGTTGTGTTGATTGCTTGAGGCCAATACAGCTGTCCCAGGTTCCAGCTCCAGGAGCTGTATACAGGGCCGCCGGACTTCGGATGAGAAAGGTAATCGCTTGAGAGGTGATCCACACAGAGCCTTGCCGCTGCTGATCTGCAGGAAGTCCTAGGGAAATCAGACTCTTGCAGAAGGCAGCAGAGCCAAAGGATAATATATGCACTTGACTGGATACTCCCTTGTATGCAGACACCCAAAGATATTTTTAAATTATCACTACTGCACATCCCTCATCTCCCATCAAAGATTCAAATCAGTTTTGGACTGTCTGGAAAATGCAGGGCTAAAATAGCCAGATTGAATTCAGATGAAATTACCTTCTGCTTTTTGGGGAGGTTGTTGCTCTTGTGTGAGTCGCATTATTTTCTTTGAAGATTCATTTGGAAGGGAGTTTGGGAGAATTTCTAGCCTCCCTCTAGAGTTTCCTCCCATTTCTCTGTTTGCAAAGAGCTGTTCCCCAAAGGCGAAAAGAGCGAGTTGCCATCTTGAGGAGTGAATTGTATGTGTAGTGAACACCAAATGGTCTCAAAGTTCCCCTAGAATTTTCAATATCTCTAGTTGGTTTCAAATACTATTTATTCCCCTAACCATTTGTGCAGGATATCAGTAAGATGACCAACTTCTGACAACCCTAAAAGCAGGGAAGGAAGCTTAGAAATAGAATACCATTTGTCTGGTAATTAGAGTGTATCTCTTAAGAGTTCGAGAGAATTCTGATTAACCTTTCTGTTCCCACATTCTCACATAAAATTAGCACACCTTTTAAATTATTATCTAGTATTTAAACATGTATTTTTGAGTCTTCTTAATGCAACAGGTTCTGGAGACACTAAAAGTGTGTTATAGGTTTCTAAAAAACTTCATTTTTCTTACATTTTAAATGTTCTGTTTGTGCAAAATTTCGAGAATCACCATAAGGGCTTCTTTGCATTTTTAATTTAGTAACTAACATATGAATAAATTTGCATATTAATTAGTTGCAGATTAAATCATGCATACATAATTGCCTCCTTACTGTGTTTAATGTTTGTCAAAATCTCCAGCCTGGTTTGATGGATGTCGTATGAAAGATTACAATTTGATGTACCCTTGGAAGTATTTATACCAATAATGCAAGATTCTTAATAGCAGAATTCTCTAGTTATATAGTTACTAATAAACATGTAAGATAGGTACATGTCCCTTTGACTAAAATTTTTTCTTTGCACCAAATCATTTACTATTCATAATCATTAATGCATCTCCTAATTATACAGCATATGTCTGTTAACCCTTTCGTTGCTGGTCTTCAAGTGGTAGCTTCTTTCTTTTCTTGTCCCCTAAAGGAAGCACATTATTTGATAGTATTCTGAAATTACTGCATTGCCTTTTACTTATTTCTCTACTAGTGTATAGACACACCTCATTTGCCATTTACTTTAACATACAGTTGAGAATTATGTATGATCACTTTGTATTTTCCAGTTAAAGATCAAGAAATGACCCATGTGTACACACTTAGCTGATGGGCTTTTACTTCTCTTTTACCAGTGTTGAAAAGAACTCAGATATTTGACATACTTCATATTAAATGGTAAATACACATGCACACACATACAATTTTTGGAAGGGCAATTGTAGGATAGGTAAAATCATTTAAATAATATTTTATTCCATTTTGAATATAGCAATGCATTTAACGTTTTATTATCAAATGCAGGATGGATTTTTTTTTTTTTGTACTAGGACTGAGATCTCTACAGAAGCTGACCAGAGAATGGATGTTCTTGATTTGACACAGTTAAAAAAAAATACGTATGCCAATAAGTGTTCTTTTTAATTAATTCCTCAGGTATTTAATTTTTTTAAGTTTTATTTTACTCATGTACAGAGTACACCAACTGGCATTTTTTTTTTAACTATTTTGATGTCTAAGCTGCTTATCACACTGTATTACCCTGCATTAATGAGTATTCCTACTGTGCAAAATTCTATCAAAAATGATGGTGTGAATGTCATTTTTAATTGGAAGTTTATACAGTCAAATTTATAGTACACAACAAAAAATATGTACGTAATTCTGTTCCAAGCCTTTTTTAGGCTATTGATCTTTTTGGTTTAAGTATACATTTTTATCAATCGGACCTTAAATTTAGCTTGAGAATCTGGACAAATATTACTGGGTTTGTATTAATACCATTATTGAGGGGAGAGGGAAACCAAGGCACAGGACAATTATAATGCCTTTTATTTATAAGAGGAACAAATATAGAGTCTATTTTCAAGAATCCCTTTTAAACATGAAAACTTGCTGACCAATTTTGTATGTTCTATAGAAGGCAGAATATCTGATTCCTATTTTATTGTTGAATGCCTTGCACTTATATGCTTATTAAGGAAACAAAAGTTAAAATGAGTCCAAAGCATAAAGAGCTGATTTCCTTTATGTGATTCTTACATGGGAAAAATAATACCTCCTGCTCACCTACCTCAGGGTCGCCGTCTTCTAATCACAAGGCACAGTGAACTTTTTATTGATTTAGCAAAACACTCTTTTGCAACATGCAATATTGCATTAAATTATGTGGCAATGGGAAAA